TAACGTGCCGGTCCCTTTGTAAAAGCAGCTAAAAAGAAGCACGGTCTGCTGCTCTCCCGAAATCCAGCGGCAAACTTCTAAACGGCTCTTAAGACCTCCCTCTCGTGAGGGCAACAGCTGCTGCTTCCCAGAGATGAATGAGGACGTTACATCCACGGAGACCGCGTCCAAACACGGAATTTAACCTCGTATTCCTAAATGTACTAACGCTGTAATACAAACAAAAGCCCGGGGGAAAAAAATATCTCGGCAAGTTTTACAGCGATAAAGAGGTCTTTTTTCCACCGAAACGGCTCGGTTTCGGTCACCCTAAAGCTATACATCAACTGCGCAGAACGCACGCGATAGCTTTGCCTGGGTTTCCTCAAGTTTTTTCACAAAACTTGCAGCGTGGAGATCCTCCCCCTGCTCTTTTTATCCAGTAGCTCGGGGGTTAAAGTACCATTCCAGACAGCAGCTAATGAATTCGCCGAGTCAAAGGATTTTAAAGTAGACTATTTTACGCGAAAGCCCCGCCGGCGCCGCCGCCCGCTCCCGACCCCCACCCGGGCCAAAGACGGCGGCTCCCGCGCATCCGGTCCCTCCCTCTCTGGCGTCCGGCTGGAAACAGGGGGCGGGAGCGCCCGGCCCCGCTCCGCGCCCTTGGCAGGGGCAGCGCCCGCCGCGGCCATGGCGGCTTGGCCCGCCGTCCCCCTCCTCATCAACCTCGGCGGGTCGCTGCTGGGCTTCGCGGCCACCCTGACGCTGATCCCGGCCTTCAAGGACCGCTTCCTCGCCGCCCGGCTCTTCGGCGAAGACCTCAACAAGGCCTCGCGGCGGCCCGTGTGAGTAGCGACGCCGTCCCGCCGGACCGGCGGCGGTCCCGGGCCCTCGGTCCCCGGGCTGACTCCCCGCCTTACCTCCCTTCCAGCCCCGAGGCGCAGGGCGTGATCAGCGGGGCCGTGTTCCTCATCATCCTCTTCTGCTTCATCCCCGTGCCCTTCCTGAGGTGCTTCGTGGAGGAGCAATGCGCGGCCTTCCCTCACGACGAGGTGAGGCCGGCCGGCAGCGCGGCGGGCACCGGCTGGGCGCGGCCGCCGGTAACCGCGGTCCCCTTCTCTGTCCCGCAGTTCGTAGAGCTCATCGGTTCTCTCCTCGCCATCTGCTGCATGATTTTCCTGGGCTTTGCAGACGACGTGCTGAACCTGCCCTGGCGCCACAAGCTCCTTCTGCCCACCATGGCTTCCCTCCCGCTGCTGATGGTTTACTTCACCAGCTTCGGGAACACGACCATCGTGGTGCCGAAGCCTTTCCGGGTGCTGCTGGGCATGCATTTGGACCTGGGTAAGTTCCAAATCGCCAGAAAACGCCAAAACGCACCGAAATCGCGAGGTAACAGATCCTCAGACAAAGCAGGAAGCAAGCGCTCGCGTGAGTCGGCACAGGGCCTGCTGCACCCCCGATACTAAAGCACTCGGCCGGCTCCGGTCCGCAGGTATCCTCTACTACGTGTACATGGGCATGCTCGCCGTGTTCTGCACTAACGCCATCAACATTCTCGCTGGAATTAACGGAATCGAAGCGGGGCAGTCGCTGGTGATAGCTGCTTCCATTATCGTATTCAACGTTGTAGAGCTAAACGGTAAGGAAGATAACATATATGTTTATTTAACAATATCTCGTGTTGTTAAAAAGCAGCCAGTCCTGTCTTATCACAAACACATTTTTTTCTTTTTTTTCCTATAGGGGATTATCGAGACGATCACATTTTTTCTCTCTACTTCATGATTCCTTTTTTTTTTACTACGCTGGGGCTGTTTTACCACAACTGGTAAGAGGATGGAGCTTCGGAGTGTCTTCAGAAACATCCTTTCCCTTTACTTTCTCCCTTTTCAAACGCAAAACCGCTTCCTGACACGCAGGTAGGAAGCTGGAGCGTAGACAGGCTTCTTGCCGGAACCAAGAAAGCCGAGAACCGACAAAGCACCGATGCACCGGTAGCTTTTCTTTTTATTAGAACAATTCTGGTCACGCCAGCTCACCAAAATGCTCAGAATGCACTCCCTCTTATGTCTCACTAGCCGTTTTTCCATACCTTACTCTCTGCAAGTCAGGCTGCGGGTCCCGGTCCCGCAGTTCTTAGCACGAGTACCCGCAGTCGTTGTTTCTACCGCGTAGATCTGCTGCAGTTCCCCCTCAGCCCCCGGCCTGGCGTGCGGGAATACATTCGGTGGTTAGAAAGTCGTTTTTGCAGCAGCAGCAGCCGTCATTGACCTTTCTGCCCTGTGGACCGCAGGTACCCGTCTCGAGTGTTCGTCGGGGATACCTTCTGCTACTTTGCCGGCATGACCTTCGCCGTGGTGGGGATCTTGGGGCACTTCAGCAAAACTATGCTGCTTTTTTTCATCCCGCAAGTGCTCAACTTCCTCTACTCGTTGCCCCAACTCTTCCACGTCATTCCTTGTCCCCGTCACCGGCTGCCGAGGTAACGTACCCGAGTGACCTACGATGGTACCACAGGTTATGCCTTTTATCTCCAGCGCCAGCTGAGAAAGGCGGCGGTAGGAGCTCTTTTAAAAAGCCATCCAAGTAAGTTTTAGAATCCAAAGTTAGCTGGCTTGCTCTGCCGGCTACGGTCAAGTCATACGGTAGAGGTTTCTCGAAGATGTTCGCTTTTCTGACCACCCCACCCCCCCGGATACAGAAGAGTGATTTTTGGTAACGTTAGAGTATGATTGTTCTCAGCTCCAAGGACAGAGAAATCGGTGCGGGTCACTTTTAACGCTATCGCATCGGGACCCGCTAGGATTTCAGAGCAGTGAGCGTTTTGTGGCACTGTGCCACATCGGCGATTGTCTCTGCAGATGATAGGTTCTTCTGGTTTATTTTTGAACTGTACATCTTAGGGGTATATCGGGGCTGCAGCACGGAGGAATGTCCTCCTGACTCTGCCAGGCTGAGGGACTAGGTATCGGCAGCTACTGTTAAGCGTGTTGGATTATTCCCGCTTTTTTCCACCACCGGATTTCTTAGCTAGTCGGCCATGGCTCTAAGCCTGCTGCATGTAAGGATCTCTATCTCGTTGCTCTCTCTGGACTAAAATTCTCATGTTTCTTTTAGGCTCAATCCTAGTACAGGGAAGCTGGAGATGAGCTACTCCAAATTCAAAACTAAGAGCCTCTCTGCCCTGGGAACATACATTCTGAAGGTAATATCTGAGAAACCGTTCAAAATCCAGATGCGTTTTGAGGCGGTGATCCGACGCGAGAAGAACACTAAGGGAGGGAATGAAAAACTTACGGGTTCACTAATTATTTCCTGGCTCAAATCCAGAATAAAAGATTCTGCTTAGTCCATCGCAGTTCCTCACGGTCACTCGATACTGTTAATAATCTTTCAGAATAACCACACGTAGCAGTGGCCCGGGACCATCACGAGCCTGTCCCGTAAGAGCGAGAGCCAGGCTTCGGGGATGGTACGGCAAAAGGGATCTTGAGCAAAACCGGCCGGTGCGCATCAAACGTCCCTGGTGAAATAGTATGCAATATTTCTTTCCCCAGGCAGCAGAGATCTTGCACATAGTAAATGTGAGGAGTGGAACGGATGAAGATGGCGAATACACCGAGTGCAATAATATGACGCTTATTAACTTTGTTATAAAGCTGATCGGACCCACCCACGAGCGAAATCTCACGCTCCTGTTGCTACTCATTCAGGTCAGACAAACGATTCCTCCAACAGAAAGGTGTACTCTGCAATAGAAAAAGATCCAAATCAGTTTCAAGGGGAAAGGGGGAAGTAAGGTATCACGCTCTTCACACAAGATGTAATTGAGCTGTGGAACTTGAGGAGACTCAGAAGTTTACATGGCTCGAGGAGGAAACAGATCCCTCCCTCCCAGAGACCAAACAAGGCTTAGCAGAACATCGGGGCTGGAAAAGGATGGGGAGTACGTACCCCTCGATGTGGAGCCCAGTCACAGCAGAGAGGCCTTGGCAGTGCCTCCTTGTAATGATGCCAAGTCGCAGCTTTGACGTGAGGTATTTTGCATTACAAACCGTAGGGTTTATGGTATAACATAGGCTTCTTAAGGAGAGCGTCATTCTGAACCGTTCGTCTCGTCCTCTTGCTCTCACAATGTGACTGTGCGCGAGCACGTGCAGAAATACCCCGCGGATAACTACAGTTCTCAGAGAAAGACTGAAGGACTTTGGTTAGACTTCTGCCTTTCATCTTTCTGTACCTACAAAATTTACCCTAAATCTTGTTATTTAGTGAAACGATGCACGCTGGAAAGCTTAGTGAATCCATCTGGAAAGGAGGACTCTGCCAGCCTGTAAACTATTTAACGCTATAACGTGTCTGTTGTCTGTCTGATATTTTTCTAGGTCCTGGGCAGTACAATTGCATTTTCAATCCGGTACCAACTAGTGCGCTTGTTTTATGACGTCTGACTGGGCTGCCAGGAGCAGGGGAAAGACTTGTACCTGCCAGTTGATTTTCTGCAGTCGTGACCAAATGATTCAACTGATCTTACTCCAGCCCTCCGAGAACCTCAGGACACCTGCCAACATGCGAGCAACTAGTCTGCGGGGGCCAGTCTTGAACTGTAATCATATTTTGGGGAGGGGGGGGGGGGGGGAGATGCTGACAGGAAAAATTCTATGCCACTTGGACGTGACGGTTACTGGGAATACAGGGAAGTAAGTAATGCAAACGTTTACTCACAGCACTTACAGAAAGGTGAAGTCTCTGTACATCTAACAAGCACGTTGCTGTTCCCCGAAAGAGAAAATGGGAACTTCAGTTTCATTGCGACTGTGTACAGGAGAACAAGTAAATCGGAATCCTCTCCTCGCTTCTCCGGTCCCGTCTTTGGTCCGTGGACACGGAGTAACATGTTATAAACCATACCCAAAAACTTGGAGCGCTCAGAATAAATTAACTCAAAGTATCTTTTCACCTTCAGTGCTTTCCCTTGAGAATATTGATGCGCGGTGAAACCGCGTAACACGGTACATCTCTGTGGCCTTCTACCCTGGTAGGGGGCTGATCGTTTCCGCAGTAGACCCCCCCCTCGTCTTTCACAGCCACCAGGAACGTTCCAGCCAACAGGCTTTTATTTCTCAATATCATCTGCCTTCCTGCCTTCCTTTGTGGAACGGGACACATTTGGAACAGGCTAGCAGAGTAAGGATTGCTGTCCTTTCCTAACGGAGGACATCAGTAAAAGCCTTTGATTAACACGGAACTAAGACTCTGCAAGCTGCAGTTACCTTTTCCTCAAATACAAGTCGTTATCTAGCACTGTAACTCACCGCAGAATTGCTGCCTGCCCAACAGAGAAAAACCCATAGAACAGTCATCGGAGTACCAGGTTAAAGAATCTGCGTGAGAATACCGGGATTGAAAAGTGAAATAATGAAACACCAAAGGCAGGGATACTGCGATGGGTGACGGTAGAAGTTGCTGAGATCCGTACCTTAATAGACACAAGGCTGCTGCGCTTCCACGCACGCAAGTCCAGCCGGTAGCAAGGCTGGAGAAAGCGTTCCCGGTAGGCAAAAATTCATATGTTCTGTGACGCAGATCAACACAGAAAACACAGCATTCAAACCTGAATGGAATGAGTGGCCGAATCCTCTTCCTCCTCTGCAGCCAATCTGTTTGGAAGGCTGCTAGTAGAGTATATTCATATAAACACATACCTATACACACACACTCTCTCTACAAATCCCATCCCTTAAACGCTCAGTCTGTCCAGTAACTAGCTGCTGGATTTCCTGCACCGGGGTGTATGAACACCCGAGATAAGATACACAGTATTACTCCACTTGCCCTTATAGCAAATCTTTTCACCTCGAGAGGAGAGAGGACTCAATCTCTCCGCTAGCCGATTCAGACGCACAGCCTTCCAGTAGCCAACTGTCAGACACCCGGCCCATTACCTCCAGTTAATTGCCTTAGACCTACCTCCAGTCGGCAACCTGCTGACCCTGATCTCTCCCGTATCTGGTCCTAGATACCTCGCTCCGAAGCCCGTTACTCTGCTCACTCATTAGTGATCGCACGTGCTGGCATTCCACCCCGGCCGCCCCTCTTGACACGCTCCGGTCTTCCTATTTGCTGGTACCACAAATACACTGGCCCCTGTGGCCTGATGCCGGTTGCTGGCGCTTAGCCCTCTAGACATATGTATACACACATAGGCTTGGCAGTCCCCTCACCCTCCAAAAAAAAGAATAGAAATGTATTTTAGTGAGACAGGACAAACTGCAGAGATGAACGCTACAACACACATTTGTGCATGACCGCCTTCTTCACCTCACATCTCCTTCCACGGTCACGTGTTTTATTCATCTAAGTCTGCTTTGACTTCTTCCCCACCTTTGGTGTTTCCCTTAAACAGCCCAAAACTGTGTCTCGCACATTCTCGCGATCTCCTAACAACGATCTCACATCTGGTGCTCTTCCCGCAAGCCTCCGTAAGCTCAGCAGCCCTACAGGCAGGGGTCTCCTCAACCTGCTGCCATCCCGGGAGGACCCCGCCTCGCTTCGCCAGAAGCCAGGCCCAGGGGTGAGCCGGTTTCTCAAAAGCCTCTGGGAGCGGCCCCACCGGGGCGGTATCAAGCCGGTTCGGTCATCGGAGCGCCCGTCGGCCGCCATTGCCCCACCCCTTCGGGTCGGTTACCCTGAGGTGACACAGAACCGCTCCGGAGACCTCACCGTGTCCTGTCAGGACTCGGGCGGGCGCTTGGGCCACCCACGGGTGGACGGGAAGCGCGGTAGCCCCCTGCGCCACAGCCGGCTCGCTCAGCCGGCGGAGGCCGACCTCCGCGGCGTACCCGGCCCCACCGCAGCCGGCACGCCGGCCCCGAGGAGCGGGCGGGCCCGCCACCGCCGCGCCGGTCCCCTCAGCGGCCCCCCCGCCGGCAGCGCGAACCAACGGCCCCGGCCGGTATGAATTTGGCGCCTTACCTTCTCGTTGGTCGGTCTCCGCGGCCAATAGACTCGGGGCAAGCGCCGTGGCATCGCACGGGCGACCAATCGGCTAAAAGCTTCTTCCGGGAGAGGCGCCAATAGCGAGGCGCGGTAGCGTTATCCAATGAGCCGAGTCCTACTTCGCGGGAGGCTATAAAAGGGCTGGGTGCGGGGCCTCCCGCCTCACTTCGTCGCGGCGCTCCAAGAAGGTGGGTGTCGCTCACAGCGGACCGAGGCGCCATGTCTGGCCGTGGCAAGAGCGGCGGTAAGGCCCGAGCGAAGGCCAAGTCTCGCTCATCCCGGGCCGGGTTGCAGTTCCCCGTTGGGCGAGTTCACCGGCTGCTGCGGCGCGGGCACTACGCGGAGCGGGTGGGGGCCGGCGCCCCCGTTTACTTGGCTGCCGTGCTGGAGTACCTGACGGCCGAGATCCTGGAGCTGGCGGGCAGCGCGGCCCGCGACAACAAGCAGACGCGCATCATCCCCCGTCACCTCCAGCTCGCCGTCCGCAACGACGAGGAGCTCAACAAGCTGCTGGGCGGCGTCACCATCGCGCAGGGCGGCGTCCTGCCCAACATCCAGGCCGTGCTGCTGCCCAAGAAGACCGGCGGCGCCGTGGGCCCCACCAAGGCTGGCAAGAAGGGCAGCGGGCAGCAGTCGCAGGAGTACTAGGCCGGTCGCTGTCGCTCCCCCCACCCCGACATCACACAAAGGCCCTTTTCAGGGCCACCCCATTACTCGGCAAGAGAGCTGCGATCCGCGGGGCGAGGGGCGGGCGGGGGGTGGGGCACGGACACCCGCAGGGGCGGTGGGGAACCGGCCCGCGCGAGTCCGGCTAGGAAAGCTGAACAGGCTGCTCCGACAACACACTGGGGCGCATGTAATTTCACTGTATTTATCGCCTGTTACATTCAACGGACATTGCATAGAGAATAAAACACTTCATTTCCAAAACGGGACCCCAGTAAGGTGCCGTTTCAGTGTTTCTACAAGGCACTGTAAGGCATAAGCCCTGCTGAGAGGAGAGCGAGCCCATACTGGAAACGGTACCCGGTTTCCAGGAAAAGGTATAAACAGTTGCAGAGAAAGGCACTATAGCCTGAATACGGGCCTCCTCTTCAGCTCCCGGTTGGCACAGAGGAGCGGCCGTCAGATTATCCTCGTAGGTAAGTGTGCAAGGGAAACCAGACTGGCTGGCTGGTTATTTCCCCATCTATTACTGGCCAATTGACAAATTTACATCTGGTAACTGCAAACTTAATTCCTTACCTTAACCTACGGTGGACACAGCATCTGTGCTACCTTACTATGAGGAACCCGGTATTGGGAACCTAATAGCAATCTTCCTCTTCAGCATTCAGATGGGTGAACAGGCCCAAATAAAATTGACTACTCAAAGTACTTCAGCACCGTCACCTTGTGTCTCACGGTAATTTGTAACGAGTGCCTTACTCCTAAATGGAATAGGAGAACACTTACAGACTTTTTAAAATTCGTTTAACTTTCTAGCTACAATAATTCTTCAAAAACCTTCACAGAGACACTTTGCGATTTCGAGAAATGCATAACGGGATCAAAATCCTGACCAGCATAAACTACTCCAGTTAGCTAGCTTAGTATTTCAAGTTTGTGTGCCCAAACATCCAGTAAGACCGGTTCACGTTTAAATAAATCCCTTCCTCCAGAGGAGGACGATAGCGTAGCTGTGAAGACTTGCTGGAGTCGTAGCGCTCGTGCCAATGCTCCGCAGGTTTAGCGGGTGTCATTGAGCTGCCGCGCCACGCTCAGGATGTGCTTCGCTCCCTTGCTCAGAAGTAAACTGGCTACTTCAACCCCAAGGTTCTCTGCAGCCTCTTGGGCCTGACCAGGGACGTTCTTGGCTGTGATGCCAACGCGCTGCACATCATCATTTGGTCCATCTTCGTTCTGCAAATGTAAACACTCAAAGGTGAGGCAGCGGGAAGGAGTGGGCAATGAACGGTTTGAGCATACGTGAAATGGGGTAACATCTGGTCTGAGGAGCCTTGAGAACTCTGCACTGTTAGCGTTTCCGATGAACCAGACCAAAAGCAATAGATTTCAAAAGGTCTGGTTTTGTCTTTCCACTTCAGGTTTGGATTTTGAAGCCGCCCACATACCTGTTGGGGATAATGAACGCCGGTCTGCATTGTCTCCTTCAGGCTATCAGATCCGTCCAAACTGTAGACCGCTCCTGTCAAATACAACTTGGAAAGACATACAGAAGGGATTAATACCACATTAACAAACCAACAGAAAGCCAAATACTCCCTTAAAAAAATAAAATAAAACAAAACCATGCAACATTCAAATCTCAGTTTGGAGGGGGAGGCTTCCATAGCGCAGTGGGATCAGCAAGAATAGCGGTACGATGCCGCTATGACAAAAGCAATCCCTGTTAGGGAATGGGTGACTTCCCAAGGAAAAAGATGGGAAAAAAAAAAAAGAGAGCTTCCCACCTCTTTAATCACAGTCTGTTGTGTGAAAATGCTGATTTTATGGGCTCAGAAGCGAGACTGTCAGATCTCAGGGCAATGCTACCTTTAAAGAAGGGAGGGGGGTAGAAATCTGGTCCTCATTAATTAATAATTAATAAGAGCATTTTCTAGAAGCCTGAGCTTCAGTAGCTGGACCCACTCTCATACTCCTGCTTTGGACACAAACCCAGAGGGCTACACTATAGAGGTACCCATAGAGGTATCTGCTGGAGTTTCCCTTCAGGGAAGATGCACGTGCTGGAACAGGTTTTCAGACGTAATGCCAGATAAATAGCGAGTACTCCTCACCTGGCCATCTTTCAGCACGGTGTTGACGGCGACAGGAACGCTACATCCGCCCTCCTAAAAGAGACAACAGCTGACACCGAGGCTCCTACCCGACACCGTCAAAGCAGAGGCCTCTGAAAAGTTTAGGCCGCACACAACCCTGCCCACTGCTCCTCAGGCCCTTCTCGATTCAGAATTTCTACTTAGCAGTTTCAACAAAGTGTAGTAGGTTTCCCACCCTACGGCCAGGTCAGGTCAACCAGCGGAGCAGCGTTTCCCGCTGCAGGCAGAAGAGGGAGGACACCGCACCTACCAAACGTTTCATAAAGGCTCTCTCGGCAATGCAGCATAACACGGTGTCCGCGTCGTGCAGGGCAGATACCATATTCAGTATCTCTTGGTCTTTGGCACGAACTTCCACCGCTAAGGCACCCTAGAAGAAAAAAATGAAACACACAACATAATCGTAATTTTTCAACTTCACACGTCTCTGTGAGCACTCAGCGTCACGAAACAAAAACCCAGAGGCGAGGATATGCATTTCACTAAGGCAGCGATGTTTAGATGTTTACAGAAATGAATTACGAAACTATCCACCGGTTGCAGAGACATCCTATAAGCAGCTGCTGTAAAGAGAAGATCGGAACCTGCTCTGGCCAAACGTTCAAGATATGCTGTTACCTCAAAGCATTCGAGAGCCTCTCTCAATTATGTCCGCATATACAGAAACACCCACCCCCATGTCCCTTTGCGACAAGATGGCTGGATAAGTCCAAGCTTCCCAAACTTATCTCAAGATAAAGATCGAGTCCCGAATGACTACCAGTGACAAAACAATTCTTTCTCCAACTGGAAACAGAAGGGGACGGGGAGAATGCCCGGTACCTGACAAATACATGATCAAAATCACAATTTCAGGCTGAATTCACCCTCTTTGCATCAGAGGGCAAAGATACTGCGGTGACATTACCTCTATTTTAATGCACCATTATCCCAAAACAGCGCAGCACTGACCCTGCCAGAGCCTGCCCCATCGCCCCAATGTAGTTGTGCTATATTGTTCCTTCACCGCTTACTGTTTTCCATTACCCATGGCATTCAGCCCCCACCACACCGGGTAACAGAGCTGGCTACCATTCTTCCCACACGCTGTGCCTAAAGCAGCGTAACAGCCAACAGAAAAGATCGATGCGATGGTTCTTTAGCAACAAGCACACACAAAGTATTCAGCACAATTAACCACTCTGACACGCTGTACCGCTGCCAGCTTTCAACACGCAGTACAGACTACGATACAGAAGTTGTAACGTACCTGTCCGACGGCGTACAGACAATCTTCAGGGCTTAGGAGCTGGAAGACAGTAAAATCAGAGTCAACTCAAGTTGCACTGTTCAGAATACAGGAGGGGAGAGCCAAATTCTATGCTCGCATCTAAGACCGATTGCTTTTGCGCCTGACCAAAGAAATATCATGTGCACCCCTTTCCCAGGCCTCAGTTTGCACCCCTAAAGTGAGATAATGCGCTTTCCTTCACCTAGACTATAACACGCTGTGAAATAGAAAAATCTGATCATCGGAAAAATCTTAGTCACGCACACTGCTGCATTGCTAGACACAAGTATTGCGAAATGCTGGGAGACTGTCAGATTACAAACTGCTATTGCACCATGGAAAGCTGAACACTATAAACTCCCATATGAAGAAAACAAAACCAACCAAAAAAAAAAAGTCCTCCCTGAAGTGCATCAAATCCCGAGGTGGCAATGGATGCAGTAGGCTCCACGCTCATCTCTGACAGGGCAACCGCAAGGCCCGAAAGGCAGTCGACGGGTCGGCAGAGAACGGCACTTTCCGCTTTGCTAGTCCTCACCTGGCCGATGCGATTTTCCCAGCCCATTCTCTTCAGCCCAGCAGCTGCCAGGATGATGGCACTGAAGTCCTCCTTCTCATCTAGCTTCTTTAAGCGGGTATTTAAATTCCCTCTCTGTAGAAGTGATTAAGCAAGCATAGGAACAGCAGGCACATAGTCCTATAACCACTTAGTGTTTGCTTGAGCGCGTTTACAGAACCTACTGACTCCAAGAGCCTCCAAATGAGAATCGGAGTACAATCCTGAAAGAGGTATTTGTTACGACAACTGCTTCTTTACATAGAATTTTGCAGAGCATTACGGAATATTAATTCAAGCACTGACTCTCAAAAGTTGCGTATGTCATTCAAGTACATCGCTCACACCCGACACCAACTCCTTTTGCACAGCAAAGAACGGAGTCTGAATTAACGGTGCCTTTTACCTCTAGTTCATCAGCCCACATCAGAACCAGCGGCCCAAATCACATCCGTGGTATGGGGAACCAATTGGCACTTGGTCACGCCACTGTGACAAACACACGGTAGGCACCCATGAAGCGGGTTTTTGAACATTCCTTAAAGTAAAAATTCATCTGCATCCCGAATCTCAGCTAGATTAAAGCTGGCCCCTTTCTACAGCCTGGTGAGAAAGCAGAGGACCAAAGGAGCTACCCTGCACTACGCACCCCTCTCGGGGTAGTCAGTGGAGGGCAGACTGAGGAAGCAGTTCGTTCTTGCAGGTCTGGCGGTATAAATCGGCCTCGATTCTAGATTTCACATTAAATTACATTTTCCTGTTTGCAGCTTTACCCAGCTCCCCGTTTTGCCAGAAGGATACAATATCCCTGAATTCTAACTGAGGGAACTTCTTTTTCAGCTGGGCTGCTCTGCGAAGTGAACTGGTTCCAATCACGCTGTGGGAAAAATAAAAGCAATGAAATAGAGAATACTCCTACACTTACCTCCAGCCAGAGATATGTCTGAGCTTTCGAGGAAACAATTGACAACTTTTTTTTTTTTTTAATTTTTGAATAATGAAGATCCAAGAACCTGCCAATGATTGATATCTCCTTAGGAGAAAGAAAACAACTCCGTGGGGTTTAGCACAAAGTCTGGCTGAAGCCACTCCCAAGGAACAGATTTACAGGAGATGTTTCTGGAGGGCAGCCCCTGTCAAGGACTGGACGAAGCCACAACACTTGCCACGGAAAAAAAGACTCGGCTACCCCAAACTGCACCAGACAATTGAAGCTACTAATTGGGAAGGACTTCATCAATTTCACTGAATTGCACTGAATTCTTAGAGTCGGAAGGGACCATAGAGATCATCTAGTCCAACTCCCCTGCTAAAGCAGGATTGCCTAGAGGTTGTCAGAGCACGTTACTCAGGACTGCATCCAGGCGGGTCTTGAAAATCTCCAAAGAAGGGGACTCCACAACCTCCCCGGGCAGCCCGTTCCAGGGCTCCGTCACCCTTACTGTGAAGAAGTTTTTCCTCATATTTGAGTGGAACCTCTTATGTTCCAACTTGTGCCTGTTGCCTCTCGTCCTCTCACTGGGAACCACTGAAAAGAGTCTGTCTTTCAATGTCTGTCAATGACAGAAATGCAGTGGGAGGAGAACCTTTGGAAACAGTAGGGCGCAAAACTGGAAACCCCAAAAAACTGCCAGTCTGGGCAGTAAGGATTTCCTTTCTAGACACATAGGCTATTTCTTTTTCTTGGCACCCTGCAGCCTAAACTAGACTTGATTTTCCTGCTATCCAGACGCACAGAAACACAGGTCTATGTTTGTGTCACAGCTAGTTTGTTTCTTTTACTTTAACACAGAAAAAAAAAATACATCTTTCTAATCATTACCTTAATCTGAGTAATTTCACTCAGCTGACTCAGACAAAAGACTCCAATAAGCTCTACGAAAAGGCAGGGAACGCTAGTCAGGCAATTCAATATGGAGAAACTGCTCACGCTCCCAGCAGAACCGTAAGAAAGTGATGTGAAAAAACTAACAAAATCAGAACCATCTGAGTAAGAACAAGAGCGCGGTTCAGGCCCATTTTTATACCTGTCTTCCCCTCCCTTTCTCCGCTCACCTCTTTTCAGGAAGGAGGCTCAGTGTTTTCCCGCAGTTTTTGGGATGAAAGACGACAGCATCAAGTGGGTTTTCCCTTCTGCAAAATAATACACGTGCAGAATCACTGAGATATCCTTTCACGGAAGGCCGTTAAGCTTAACACCCGGAAGAACTGTTTCTGGTTCCAAAATACCCCATCGTCATTACAAAAGCAAGAATTTTCAGCAAACCTGCTGGCTACGGAATACTAGGACAGCTCCAATGTTTTCACTGTTTCAGAGATTATTCGGAGGGCGGTCAAACTCTGAACACCTAAAAGGACCTACGGTGCCTTTGCTTTCCTTCCACCACCAACACTGTAAAATGCAAATCCCTGGTAGAATCGAGCCTCGTGTGCACACTTACTTGCAGACAGCACCAATGGTGAACCCGGGAGGAAGAGAAGTTGGCAGGTCCTTCAAGGAGTGAACCACGAGGTCAACTCTAAAAATTAGAGGACAGCAATTACTGAACAGATGGGTGAGCTCACACGGTACCTACCATAGGCCTGAAGATCATCTACAGGAAAGCATGAATCCATCCTGGGAATTAATTTGGAGAAGAGGGAGGAATTTCTGGATTCTATAGCCAGAATTACTGTGGAATTCCAGCATCACTCCAGAAGAGCCACTTCACCTTTCTCTGTCCCTATTTTCCCAACTGTAAAATTGGGAAAAACGCCTTCCTCCCATCAGCGCCGCGAGACGCGTTACAACGATCAGGCTGAATGAGGGGAAGACGCTGGAGATGTTCACACGGGGAGACTCATCGAACCGATACGCAACCTGTACGCTGACCGGTATTATGCTTCAAACTAAAAAAAACAGTTAGCCAAAGCAGAACCTATCTGCTTCGTTACAAGGCCAACAAACATAATTGCAAATGCATGAATCTCCAGTATTTTTTCCACTGACTTTATTTGAAAACGCAGTGCCCGTGGGTCACAGATGTAGAAGAATATCTTTGTTTTTGAACCTACTTTATAAGAGGTGTAAGTAGCAACGAAACCCTCCTCAGGATATTGAAAAGGTGGGGGGGGGGGGGGGGGTCTCTTCTCCAGCCGGAGCCTGAACTGAGTTTTTCTAGAGAAAGAAGTCAGGCAGAAAGCAGCACAACTTGCCCACACCCATTTCCCCTACACATTTAACATGCAAGTACGTTAATAAATGTTAACACTAAATGCGGTATGCAATATCTTAACACCACCAGGCAAAGTATTCTTTTAAAAGAACATACTCGTAAGCAGGAACTAGATTAGATTACAAGCTCTCTGATGCACGTGTAAACATATAAATCACAGGAGAAAAAAACCTCACTGGGGCAGACCAAGCAACACAACTCCGCTTGTGTATATAAAAATATACAGCCTACGCCCAGGGGGGGAGGGAAGACAATGACTTATCAAAGGATTTCTTAGCCAGAGAGGTACCAGAGCAGTAAGAAACCCGATCAAATACGCAGCAAAGCCAAAGATGTCCAAAGAGCACCACAAATGCCAGAGCGGGAAAAGAAAACAATGAGCTCTTACTCATTTCTTTCAAGTGCATTTTCCAGCTCTTTGGTGAAGAGGCTCTTCTCCCCAATCTACACATAAACGGAGGAACACGAATCACAAAAGAAAAATCTGCAAACGTACCATCAAATACAATTACTTCTTGTGTAAAGGAAGAAGAGAACCTTTACCTTGGAAAGCGCTGTATCCAAGATCTTGTCTCCAGTCGTGGACATGGCAACTGCGCAGAGAGAGAGAGCAGAGGTAAAAGGTGAGGCTTGGTCAGAGCACACGGGCCTGGACTGGAAATACTCACATAACGTGTAATGGGCAGTACAGCGTCACACACTACTGCGTGAACGCAGATTCAAGATAAACTTAAGAGCAGCTCACTTCTAGAAATATGCTGTACTCAAGACAAGTGAAACTCGGACTTCCTTCGCTGCCCTCAAAAACAGAGCGAGGGGGCAGAGGGCAGGTTTTGGAAGCGCTGACCCAACAGGAATTGCCACGGTCTTTCTCTGAGCGCCAGCAACCAAGTACTCAGTAGTTCTCTAGGGGAAAGGCTGAGCTCCCCTTATTCCTGTGCTGTTAAACACCTCAAACCAGGGACAGGAAAATGACCCCAGCGCATAGCGGGCTATGGCCAGAGCAACACCAGGTTCTCAAATGGAGCCGCCTAACACCCTCAGTGTGATACACTCAGAGCTTCAACCATCAGGAGCTCAGGAAATCCACCTTTCCCCCCTAGAAGAAACCAGCAGCAGTTGTGCAGCCACACAATGTATTTGAATTCAGATGGCGCTCTTAGATAAGCTGGGTCGAATCCTCCTTCTCGTGACAGCGCCCTACACACATCTCTTGCACGCAAAGATAAGCGGCCGCTCCCACTGCTGTCCAAAAAAACTTACCGATCTCAAAGTGGAGGTCAGGGTATAGCTCACGGAGCATCTCGACGACGCTGTCAGTTTGAATCCGGGCCAGCTGCAACGAAGCAGAAAGCAAAGCCATATACAGAAAGCACATCAACTGTACGGTACTTAGAGAGGAGTTTGCCATTCTTCGATGGCCAGGCACGCGTGACCACTACATTGTCTAAATCGAAAGCATTAAAAATGAGTAGCCCTGAGTAAAATCGTTCACGTTTACAAACTCCTTGAACCAGGTGAACTCATAGCACGACCAGAACATTTCACCAAAGAACTTATTTAATCGACTAAGTGGCAAAAATCACATCTCGCTGTGTCCAGCGCTGCTGTGATCCAAGCACTGACAAGGCAAAGCAAAGAATTTATTGAGTTAGGAAGAGGAATTAGAGCAGAAGACTATTAGGATTTGCACTCTACTTCCAGCTGTGTTATCAAGGTCACTGCCTGTTCCACACAGAATTTCCATGTCTCGATACCACCTCAGCGCCTTTATTCATAGACGGCATTTACCTATTAACTTTGAGGCGCTTGGTTTCACCTAGCAGATCGTGACTGCTGGAAGACACCCGCTCCTGAACAAGCAGGCGGAAAGGCAAGCTAAAACATCCTCCTGTTGCTCAGCAACGAAAGAACAAGTCACATCGCACGCTGGGCACCCTCTGCTTTTTCTAAGAGTATGAATTTTACCAATACTGCAAGTTTTGAGAGAAGCCAGTAGGATTTCACTGTGCCACTGGGAAATCTATAGCTGTTGGCAAATACGAGTTCTTTACGCTCTGTAAGATCAGAGCTCTACGTAGAGGTTTTATGGGCAAACAAACAAACAAATAAACAGAAGTAACAGCTTAGACCTGCATGCACAGCAAGCCATAGATCTTAAAGCAGTGAAGTGCAGGAAGAACTTTCACTTGCATAAGAACAGCAGAAGCAAGTAAAATATAAACAGAATTACACTGGCAGAGTCTCATTCTGCACACAAGCAGCAGCAGACTCAAGCAACCGCAGGTGAGTTTCAGCTTTTCTCCCACCAATGAGCTGTGTAGCCCGGGGCAATTAACTTTGTTCTCAGCACTGTAGTTTCCTTAAATACAAAACGAGCATAAGCAGCCGCTTCCCTTTGCAAAGCGTGACAAGAGCCTCAGGTTAGAGAAAGCGAGAGCAGCACGCCCGCCTGCATCCCTTTGCCTTCTCGAAGGCGCAGAATTCTTCCCAGAACGTGCTACCCGAACGAAGGCGGTTATCTCGGAGCAGAGGCCCGAAGGAGGTTTATCTCCCCGGGCGAGGCCGCTCCCGCCGGCGATACCCGCTCTATCTCCGGACGCGGCCCCTGCGCCAGCTGAAGCCGTTGGTCCTTGGCGGGAGGAGGGGGACTGTCGGCCGTTTTCTCCTTCCCGCCTCCCCGGAGGAGCCGCACAAGCCTTGCAAGTTAAAAGCCCACAGCGAGATCCCCGTTACCGCGCTCCCCCCCCGCCCCCAACACTCCGTTACCTCAGCAGCGGCCGCGCTACCCGCAACCGACCGTCACTCGCGCTCCAAACCAACCGGTTTCGCACCGAACCCCGCGTACCTGGCTCCGGCGGGTGCCCACGCGGACCCCTCGGCCGCCCACGCCGTTCTCGCCCTGCGGCGACGTCCCGCTCAGCGCCGGCCCCGCCGCCGGGTCCCCCGCCAGACCCCCGCTCCCGGCCGGCGCCGCCATGACACCGCCCGTCCCGCACCGCTCCGCGGGCTCGCCCCGCCCCCCGACGTCACGTCCGGCGGCCCACGTGACCGTGACCGCGCCCGCCCCCGCCCCGTCCCGGCGGCGGCGCCGAGTGAGGCGGCCTCGGCGCTGGCAGCTGGTGCGTTTATTGCGGGGCTGGGGGACAGAGCAGGGGGAGCCCGTACAACGCGAGCGGATGCGGCGGTCAGGTGCTGCGCTTGGTGTGGATGAGCAGCTCCCGCTGCAGGCCCGCCTCGATGGTGGCGGCTGCCTTTCCCGAGGGCAGGTCCGTGATGAGGGTGAGCTTATTGAAGACGCCTCGACCAAAGTAGTCGGCAACAACGGAGAAGCCATCGTTGGAACACTTGAGCTGCCAGACACAAAGCGGCAGTGTCAGCAAAAGCCACCAGCCCCTCTCCTTCCACCCCCTACGCTATTAGAGGCCTGGTCATTCCTTGGCCCTCGTGCTAGTTCAACGCAAGGGCTGCACCAGCGGCCTCCTCCGCTAAGGTTTGCCCGGCTGTTCCACCTCTTGTTTCAATCCTGTACTTGAGGCGTGCACCAAAAATGTAATGAACAGTTACCTTAGGCGGGAAAGCGACCGCCTCGGCTACTCTCGTTTCCACGTGCGCTAACGTGTTCTCACTAATGCCCTGTTCTGGACAAGGACCCGCTGGAGCGGGGCCAGAGGAGGCCACAAAAATGAGGAGAGGCTGGAGCACCTCTGCTGTAAGGACAGGCCGAGAGAGTCTGGGTTGTTCAGTTCCAGGGTCAGATGAGTTCTCTCAGGAGAGCATCAAGGACCCTTTATGCCCTACACCATAATGCAGTCACCCTAGTCTGGCCTAATGCCTCTCTATTCACAGATGGCAAAACCTCGTTTACAAAACGCCTTCAGCCCTACCCTTCTCTATGAGCCTCTGGGGATCTGTAAACAGATCTAAACCCTACTTATTTAAACTTGTTAAGACAGGCAACGTTACCCTACCTGATGCTGAAACTGGTCGTGCAGATCTCTCTTCTGCTCCTGGGCTCGGATCATGTCCATCACTTTGCGATTCTCTGGCATGCAAGTAGGACATTCTGAATCGCTCTCAGAGTAGCTTTCGAAGCAATGCTGGTGGAAGGAGTGACCGCACAGAAAATGGACCGAAGGCAGCTCCAGAGCGCTGGTGCAAATGCTGCACTTGGTCTTCTGAAAGATCTTGGGACTGAGAGAGACGAGACAAAAGGGTGAGAGAGACAAGGTATATTTTTCCTCAGTAAAAGAAAACAGTTCTATCCTACGTAAGACAAAGTGGCACGCAGTAACACACCTTGCTTTCAGCTCTTCGATCTCCTGGCGGATCCTTGTAGTTTCTTCTCGGTATTTTTGAATTCTCTGCTCATCCTGCTCTATCTGGCGGCTCTGCTTCTGCAGCTTATTGACAAGATAATCCTTAATCACAGAGAGCGTGGCTGTGGAGTTATGAGCCAGCGTCTGCACAACTGAGAGCAACAGAGATGTTAAGTTTCAACACGGGCAAAAAAACTGCAGCTACGCTAGTCCTACTCCAACAGACCGCTTCCCTGTAAAAGGCCAACTCCAGGCAAAGGCAGTCAGCGTTCTTACTGAATGGGACAGCACATTGAAAGACTCAATGTCCGTCTGACCTCTTCCAGAAATGGGTGACCGGGAGCGTATTTGGATAGCTTGGATCAAAGGGGGCAGAGCAAGGATCTAGTGGACCGGATTCCATTTCAGCTTCTCCACCAAGGCACAGCGGGAGTTTCAGCAAGCCCTTCACCTCCCCACACTGACGGAACAGAAATCACGTACGGCGAGAGAGTCTGGGTTGTTCAGTTCCAGGGTCAGATGAGTTCTCTCAGGAGAGCATCAAGGACCCTTTATGCCCTACACCATAATGCAGTCACCCTAGTCTGGCCTAATGCCTCTCTATTCACAGATGGCAAAACCTCGTTTACAAAACGCCTTCAGCCCTACCCTTCTCTATGAGCCTCTGGGGATCTGTAAACAGATCTAAACCCTACTTATTTAAACTTGTTAAGACAGGCAACGTTACCCTACCTGATGCTGAAACTGGTCGTGCAGATCTCTCTTCTGCTCCTGGGCTCGGATCATGTCCATCACTTTGCGATTCTCTGGCATGCAAGTAGGACATTCTGAATCGCTCTCAGAGTAGCTTTCGAAGCAATGCTGGTGGAAGGAGTGACCGCACAGAAAATGGACCGAAGGCAGCTCCAGAGCGCTGGTGCAAATGCTGCACTTGGTCTTCTGAAAGATCTTGGGACTGAGAGAGACGAGACAAAAGGGTGAGAGAGACAAGGTATATTTTTCCTCAGTAAAAGAAAACAGTTCTATCCTACGTAAGACAAAGTGGCACGCAGTAACACACCTTGCTTTCAGCTCTTCGATCTCCTGGCGGATCCTTGTAGTTTCTTCTCGGTATTTTTGAATTCTCTGCTCATCCTGCTCTATCTGGCGGCTCTGCTTCTGCAGCTTATTGACAAGATAATCCTTAATCACAGAGAGCGTGGCTGTGGAGTTATGAGCCAGCGTCTGCACAACTGAGAGCAACAGAGATGTTAAGTTTCAACACGGGCAAAAAAACTGCAGCTACGCTAGTCCTACTCCAACAGACCGCTTCCCTGTAAAAGGCCAACTCCAGGCAAAGGCAGTCAGCGTTCTTACTGAATGGGACAGCACATTGAAAGACTCAATGTCCGTCTGACCTCTTCCAGAAATGGGTGACCGGGAGCGTATTTGGATAGCTTGGATCAAAGGGGGCAGAGCAAGGATCTAGTGGACCGGATTCCATTTCAGCTTCTCCACCAAGGCACAGCGGGAGTTTCAGCAAGCCCTTCACCTCCCCACACTGACGGAACAGAAATCACGTACGGATAATCCGTATCGCAGATCTTTTTCTCTAATTTGGGAGCTGTGACTGGCATCTCTTTTCCCTACAGAGCAGGGAATACGGCACCTCAAATGGCGGGGCCAAACTTTGTTGATACTTCTCTCAAATTTCTAATCTGCAGAGAGTGCTATAAACTAGTTGGGGGTTTGGTTTTGTTTCCGGGGTGCCGTGTGTTACTATTACCAAGCAGCGGAGGCATAAGATTCTTGTTCTCGATGTGTTTCAGCACGGCTGCAATATACTCTTTGCAGTCCTCCTCCTTCCGCGCAAAGTAGCCGAGAGCCTGTTCCCAGAGACAAGCCTCTTGATCTCCATATAACTCGCACACCTCGATCACCTTCTTGTACTGCTCATTCTGCATGTGGTAGTGCATGATCTGTTGGAAACTACAGGAGAAACAGAGACTCGTGAGTGGCAACAATCCACCTCTAGTTGATACAGGGACCTTGGGTTTTCACCCAGCCACGCAATCCCCAGACGTTCACACAGAGGCCAAGACAGGTTTGTCATTCGCTTTCTATTTAACTGCCCTGCTATAACATCAAGATACTTGCAGCTGAGCAATGATCTACATTTCCTGTCTTGAAACACTAAAGAGGTCACGGGGACAGTTAACGGCTCATAAATCCCTGCGGCGGGAGCAGAGGGACAGGACTCTCGTTGACAAGAGCAATACTCACAGTTTGCCCTGCTCATAGAGGTAGAGGACACCGTCCTTGAAATTGTGCATCTGACACAAGACCAAGGCCTTATCAAAGACCGTTTTGAACCTTCCGCTCTTCAGGAGGGTAAGGGCTTCATTGTGCAGCTTCTCTTTGACCTGCAGAGAAGGGAGAGAGGTCAGGGACACGTTTTGCACTAAGACCTGACAACAAGTTGCAGCTCTCTCAAAGAGGAGGACAGTTTTGCTGTTTGCCCTCTATCCCTTCTAAGCAAATGGGACGTGATTTCTTTCGCCCGAACAGCCAGCATCCTCACAGATGCTGGAAACAGATACAAGCAAACAGAGCCACTTTTGTGGAAGAGGCATCTGCCCACAGAGATCGTATTGTCTGGAATCTGTTCTTAAATGAGATTCATACTAAACAAACTCGGCCTCGCCGAAAGGAGCATTCTCCCAGCTAACGGGCCGCTTCCCCATTTACGTGCTGTTTGTCCAGCACAGCATATGTATTGCCTCGTGTTATCAATGCCCATCTGGAAAGGTTATGGGTTGGCAGAAATGCAAACAGGATTCAAAGACACCAAATCTCCCTCTCTAAATACAAAGCTAGAGGAGCTCAAACCTGCTCATCTTGTTCGTGAGCCCAGTTCTGGAGCCGAAGTTCCAGTAAAGTGTCATAGACGCCCTGCGGAGAGTCAGCCTGCACCTCAGTCATGTGCTCCAGAAAAGCCTTCAGCTCTCGGGAGTTGTTTGCAAAGACTGGGATGAACTCCTCTGAATTAGCCTGTAACACAGCCAGAAAAAGTCAAGCGCCCTGATCTTTCTCAGCCAGATCCACACTTCTTCCCTGCCACTCGGACCACTCGTTCCCAGAGTCTGTGACAGGACGGACACAGCACGGTACGGGATGCCGATTACGGCAGGAATTGGTTCCGAGCGGTAGTTTTTAAGCAGTCACTCGTCACTGGGACTACCACGATGGGGCCTCTCGTTACACCTGAAACATGAGGCCAGCACCACAAGAAGCTGGAGCACTTTATTGCAAAGTTACTACTCAAGAGCGACAACTGTCAGCCGGTGCAACCCGTACCTTTTTTCCTTCCAGCGTCCCAGGGCCTTCATTGTCTCCCAATGGACGGTAGTCAGTGCAAAGGATCTTCAGCAATTCTGTGGTCTC